GACCTAGGTTGGGCTTGTTAACTGCTGTACAGTGTTCCATTAACTATGGCAATTTATGAATCCATCCCTGATTTGCTGGCCGTCGGTGTCGTTTTCAACTCTTTGCTGTTGCAGTGAACATTCTTGTGTCTGTGATAAGCACAAGTCTCCAGGACAGGCCCCAGTGACCCGTCACTGCTCTGTGAATCCTTCCACTTATGGGCTCCATTTAGCAACCCACCACTAGTGAGCAGGCAGCAGAGGTGATGAGATGTCACTCCCATGGTCACTAAAAGATGGTGGCTTCTGTTTTGGAAGCCCTCTCGCTCTCTCACTGGCTTATCTGAGGGAAACCTGCTGCCAAGATGTGAGCTGCCCTCTGGAGAGGCCCACATGGCAAGGAACTGGGGGTTGCCTCAGGCCACCCATGGCAAGGCACTGAGGCCCCCTGTCCAACAGCCCCAGAGGAGCTGAATCCTGCCACTGACTGTGTCAGGGAGCTGCAAGCAGAGCCTCCCCAGGGAGCTTTCAGATGAGACTGCAGCCCTGGCCGACAACTTCATCACAACCTAGTGAGAAACCTTGAGCCAGAGGCACCCAGGTAAACTGCACTAAGATTCCTGATGCACAGAAACTTCGAGATAATAAATGTTCAATGTTTTAAGAATTTTAAGTTTTGGGGTGGTTACACAGCAATAGATAACTGATACAATGTCACTGTGCAAATCCCAGGAATTTCTCCAGAGTACACTAGAACTGGGGTCGCTGGCCTTGTTATATCTGTCTTCAGCTTTACTATAATCGTCAAGAAGTTCCATATAAAGATCTTGGATTAGAAACAATACAAGTACTGAAACTCAATTATAACTATTATATCAGTAAAGTTATTTTTTATTTGTGCTTGACATGCATTAATTATTCAGATCAGTCCCAGTATTCTTCCACACCTCTCATTGTTTTCTTATTTCATGTGTGGTTGCTGGTCTCAAGATGGTTATGCAGTTGATTCTTGTTCTGTGTGGTAGTTATATTCTATAAAGTTACTGAATTAGTGAATACTGAAGCACTGCCCCTGGGGAAACATGGTTACAATTTTTTCATCAACAGATCAATACATAGGTTTATTTTATGTGTGTCTCTGTTTAAAGATGGCTTACTTAATACATACATACATACATATACATATATATACACATACAACTATATATATATAGTTGATTCATTAAGTGAACTCACAGCCAATAGCGCCATAACTTACACCTGAATGGAGCTTCTCTAACACACGCATTTTCTTTATAAGGCACGTGAGACAGCACTTGAGCCCTACACTCGTGGGCCATTTTAAACAATGAAGTCACCAACAAAAAGCAAGAAAATGAGAAAAATGTGGCACTAAGTAGACCACAGAGAGGACACTCACTGACAGTATGAGCTGAAGCACGAAGGCGGGACTGCCTCCTTGTTCAGCCACAGCCGGGGACATGCCCAGCAGCAAACTCACGTCTGGCCGCTCTCAGCCTGTCCGTGCGTGACCGCAAAAGCACGGTGAGTACTGATTTGGGGTTATAAGTAAATTTTAGCCAGTAGAAGAATTCAAAACATGGAATCTGCAAATAATGAGAATCAACTGTATCTTTTAAACTCTAATTTCCACGATTAGACTGTACCTTAACAGAGTCTTCCTCCAATCTGTTTTAACTAAGCATCTCTCCTTCCCGGGACAGAGTCCAGAATGCACGTGGAGCCTTTTTTCACGTCCCCAGCTTGGTCCCCCAGCACCCCCCCCCCACCCTGCCCACTCACCTCCCTCTGCCTTGCCTCACTTTTAATCATGCAGTTACCACCGTTGCGGGACCCCAGTGCTCCCAGGAACCACTTGCGTGTTGCCAGCATCCCTCTGACAGCCTAGGTGACTGCCCCACCTCGGCTCTCCTTCAACGCCCGCCCCTCCTCCCGCCCCTCAGCTGAGGACTTGGAAACAGATGTCGCCCATTCACAACTGGACCTCTGCACTTCCACATCCTCAGGCAGCTCCTCCGGCTTCTCCTCCTGTCTTTCCCATCACTTTTCAAACCTATTTCCTGTCTTAAAACTCTTGGTGACCAGCGTCCTTCCACCTATTGCCTGTTCTGCAGCTCCCCTTTTTGGGGAAACTCTTCAGAAAGTTTTTTTCCGTTTAGACTTCTCCTATTCTGTTGTCCAATCTGTAGAAAAGTCGAGAGGATTCCATGAACCCCGCTCTGCATTTTCCATTCTTCGTCACTCAGCTGATGGGATCTCATCACTCCAAATGCTAATGGTAGTTACGCCGGTAGTGTTCCAGCCATGATCTGCAGAGTCCTGGCGGTCCCCAGGGCCACTTCAGGCGTCCAGAAGTCAAAACTGTTACCGAGATGTAAGTTGCCTTCTTCACTGTGCTAACATTTGCACCGAGAAATGGTGGGTAAAACTGACAGCTGGTTAGCAAGAATCAGCAACAAATTGTCCTGCTCGCCTGTTTATTTTTCATTGATGTGCACTCAGGTAAGAAAAAGAAAAACTAATTTCACTCAAGACTGTCCTTGATACAGAAAAAAATGGTAGTTTTATAAAATTCCAACCAGTACATGTGCCATGTGATTCCCACTGCACACCACGATGCAGCAGCCTCCCAGAAAAGCATTTCTCTGGCCACTTATGCCAGAAGTACAACTGACTTCTTCAGGAGACACCATTTTTATCTGAAAGAATGATCGACAACCTATGGTTATTGAGACCTGGGTATTTGGCAGACATGGTTTTTGGGTTGGTTTTTGTTTTTGTTTGGCAGCTGGCTAGCATAGAGATAGAACTCAGGACCTTGGTGTTATCAGCACCACACTCTAACCAACTGAGCTAAATGGCCATCCTGAGGCAGACATGATTTTAAAAAATTAAGCCTGCCACTTCTAGGAAAACATCTGACAGCATTTGTGGCCAAGGATAAGACCTGAGCTTTCCACCAACAATTAGAATGTTGCAAAACCTGTACATAGTACCATAACCTTGACACCTTCCAACTTTTGACTTTTATGAGATCGTGACACTAATGTGACACTTTGACATTAAATATTGAAATGTTTCAACATTTAGAAGATTTGCAGTTAATATTTTCCAAGTACTTAATGCATGATGTCATAAAATCATGCATGGATTGAAGGTCCATTTGAAGTGCAAGATAAATGGATTTTAATGCAACTGAATATAAGCAGGTCATTTATATGGATTCTGATTCAACATTGCAACTAACCTTTAAGAAACTTCCACTATGAAGTTTTAGTGTTGTTTCCAATACCCACAATTAACTGCAAAGGCTATTGAAGTATCCTTCCCTTTTCTAATTACTATCTATATGAGGCCACATTTTCTTTACACAGTTCAACCAAAAATTTATTTAGGTCTTCTTAGTGTTGTCAGTGGAAGTGGTCTTGAATATCTTTTGCTAAGATATATTCCTACATGTTTCATGGTTTCGGTGCTACCTTGTTACATTTCATTTTCCAATTGTTTGCTACTAGCAGAGGGGTTTTCAAAAAGGTTATGCAAAGATTCCTGTTACCTTTTAATTTTATTCGTCCATGAACTTCTTCAATTATCCTCGTATATAAGAGCACAAGCAAAAAGAAAGGGTCTTCAGGCCCCAAAATGATGACAACCAGTTAATTATTCTAATAGTTCAGTATAAAGTTAATTTTGGTGAGTTAAGCACAGAAAAATCTAAGCTTATTTTCAGTGTTAAGATGATATCCACAATTTCTTAAGTTCTTGGGCATTCTTTTCCTCCTTAAAGTCCTAATTAAAAAAATTTTTTTTTCTCCCAACTACAAGAGTACTCCAAGAAGTTTATGGAAAAAATAGAATTAAAATGCTAATCTTTCCATGAACTTTTTGAAGAACCCTCGTATATACAAAGTAGACAGTCCCTTGTACCTTCAGTACCTACCACTCAGCTTCAGCAACATCACCTCACACCCAACCTTGTTAGATCTGTCTCTACCCACCTTCTCCTGTCCATACTGTGGAGCTAATTCCAGGCATGACATAATCCCATCATTACAATTTCATTACCTGTCTCTAAATGAGAACTTAACATACTAGTGTCAATGGCTCTGAACTAGAATATGACAAACTTTCCATCAATCATCCGCTCAAGTGTGGATGTTGCCCTACTACAGACTCTGCAATATTTCTGCTCCCAAGAAGCAGTCGTGTTCTGTCCAGCAATTCCCAAGATTCATCGAATGCTTTGATCTCATGTTTTTCAGCAAACATTAACTATCAAGTCTCTGAAATACTTTTAAAAAGTCCAAGCTGGGGATGGAATTGTTTCATTTCTCAAAAACTCAGAGCAACGTGGGTGGCTTCTTGGTTTGATCTGCTGAAAGGGTTTCTAAGGCCAAACCTGGGTTCTGGCTTGATTACTGCTGTCTGCCATGGGCACGGGAGGTGCAGCTGTGATTCCACACTATGTATTTACTCTTCCTGTTCTCAGCATAATTTTTGTGACACTTCCAAAACTTAATGCCTCACTTTGGTCTATTAACTGTTCCAAGAATATGTATAAAGTAGTGAATGTTTTAAACCACACATGTAGGCATGCCAGAATGACTATTTTGCTGTCATTTACTAACTACAATTTACATTTTTAAAAGGCTTATGTTCATGAATATCTGCTGAAACCAAAAAAGTTGAGAACATTATGGTTGCTATCTTTTATAAAAATAAGCACCTGGGGACAATACTGCTAGCTGACATGCAATTTATCCTGCCCTCGCAACAGAGATTCAGTAAGACAAAGTGCCATAAAACTAGAGTATATTAACAGATCAAAGGTAGAAAAAATATTATATGGAGAGAAGAAGAATAAAGTAAAATCTTACAAGGAAATAAAATGCAATACTAAACTTCTGTTTCTTTCCCATTCCTCCCATTGATATCCACCCCTGTGACCCCGACACACACACACACACAAACCAGGAAGAGACTACATTCCAGAAACAAACTAAGTGTGAAAATTTTTTTATTCAATTTGTAAAGGACAGTCTTAAAACAAAATGTTAATAACACTCTTAGAACATGGGTCTGTTCATTTGACGTTTTCGCTATCTGCACCAATTTTTATTATACAAAAATCAGAAAAGTAAAAATTCATTACAATATTTGCACAGAGTAACCACTACTTGTCTAAATATAAGTCAATTTCTATAAAACGATAAACATTAATGCAGTTTTACTGAGAGATTCAAAATCCTGTTAACTGGATATACATAGAGGTGTATATTTTAAAGCAGAAAACCCCAAAAAATAAAAAGAAGAAAAGTGTTAAGTCAAAATGGTCAGTTAAGTATCTTTACCTGACCAGTCCTACAAATAGTAACTTCCACTACATATAAAGGAAACCATTATCTGCGGTAAAAATTCTAGACACCTAGTAGGAAATGTGGAATAAACCCACAATAAATCAGGATTCAGTTCCAGGCTGAGCCTGTTTCAAAATGAAACCTAAGGCAGTGGTCTACGTCATTAAAGAAGGGGACCATTTATACCCCCAAACCACTGTGTCTGTCTACAACTAAAACCTTCACCACACAGCAAGTTGCAAAGTTTAAGTTTCAATGCAAAGACATTGAAAAAGACATACACTTCACTGCAAGAAATCTTTGTAAGGCTGAACCTTGCATAGGGAAATAGCCGTGTTCCATCACAAACTACAGGAAAGAGTAAAAGCAAGCTTTTCAAAATGACACCCCTGTGCAAACAGAGATAAATTGCCAGGTATTTTACTGCCCCAATTTATCTTGATCAGATATAATTCAGTTTGACAAAAGGAGAAATGGCAATTTCTGGTGACAGTATTAAAAAGAAAATGTTGAGATTGGCATCAGAAAAATTAAACTCCAAAAAGTGCACCTTATAAAAGGAGCGATACTGCACAGTAGAAACATCTATGCACTAAGCCAGCCCTACTCATGCACAAAGACGCACTCGCTGGGAAGCTGAGTGAAAGTTTACTTTTCCAGACAGTTAATGCATAAAAAAACAGTAGACATCATGACAGTCCTTCCAGCCACTCCAAGCTGGCTGCCATAAAGGACTGTGTGTGTCTGAGCACGGGCCCCCATCTCTAGGAGCCGTGGTGCAGGTGCATGGCGCCCAGCACGGCTCTGTTGTAGCGCTCCTCCACTGTCACCGAGTTGCAGTGCTCGACCACACTGTTCAGCTCAGGGATGCTTTCAGCGGTGTCCCCAAACCCGTGGTAATGTCCATAGTGCAAATTCTCCCCAATGTCTTCCACCCAGGAAGGTCTACTGGCTATGCAGCTGCTTGGACTCCCATTCAGGTGCAGAGAGCCGCACATCTCAGGGTTAACGCTCATGGTCTTTTCTGGCTCCTCAGTGTCATTAACACAGAGAGAACCCTGGCTACTTGGAAATGGTCGTCCTGGAACTAATCCATTGCTAATTCCATTAGATCCTGTTAAGTACTGGTCATTCCTGCTTTCCATCCCACTGAGCTGGGTTGTGGAGGGGAAGTCCAAATGTCCATTGATGACAGATCCATTTGTCAATGTATTCGGTACGGAGCTACTGTTTTTCATATCTGCATTAAGAAATACACCTGTCACCAAAATTCAGTACCAGTGGGGGAGGAGAAACTATAAAATGCTTCACTGTTGCTATAATTTTTAAGAACTTACTTAGTTTCTTTTCTTTCTTTTTTTTTTTTTTTTAAACAAACCAGTTCCTTTTCCAAAGTAAGAAATGATGTGCATAGGCAGATTTAAAAATAAAACACAATAATAGCATTTGCCTGGTAAGAAGGGAAAATGTATGCATTTCAGCAGCATTGAGTAGCCAAATTAAAAAAAAAAAGTTGACAAATACACTGCATGAAAAATACCAACAGTACTGAAAAGCTGTTGAAAAACTCATTTTGGAGAACAGTTTAAAAACTGCCCATGAAAAGGTGCACCAGAAATGAATGCAAAGTTTTCTACAAAGGGTTAAAAAAACTCACAAAACTTCTCTAGTTCTTAGGGGGAAAAAAAGAGGTAAATGAATCAGGTAAATTAAGAAAGTCTTTCAAACTACGTATAGCAGCATCACACAGTGTTTTTAAAAAGCTTCTCTCCTCATAAGTCAGGGAAGCATACACAGGAATATTAAAAGGAACCATTTTTTCCCCCTAGTAACACTCAAATCTACATAGTACTTCTGCAAAGTGCCACATAAGAGCAGTGTCAGAACACAGAGAAACAGGTGACCAGCAAGGAGCTGTGAACACCAGTGAGCCTCCTGAACACAGTCTGGACCAACAGCACGTTCTCAACAGTGCCTTCTGGGTCCAGCAAGTGGAGTGACTGACGGCCAAGGTTTCATGTTATTAGGTTACTTTCAAAAACCACTTATGTTGGAAAAAAACGCTGACAGTTCAGTCTGCACATAGACATCTATTAGGAGAAAGATGTCTTATGGGAAAGGAGTCAATCACAAAATGCTTGGGCACGCTGGGGTAGGCAATAACAAGTTATTTTTCTTCATATTGGAACCCGAGAATTAACGTTCATGTCATAGAAATTCACAGAGCAAATACACAGAATGAACTACAATTATCTCTTGCTTGGTAATATTAAATTTTATCTCAATATTCTGTGCCATCAAAGGAAGGCATAATATTAAATATATAAGAGCTCAGTTCTAATAGCTTTTAGAATAAAGACATCCTAAATACATAGTTACCCTAATTATGTCATATACTGTGTTACTCTCCCCAAGAAGGGCTTCGTTTCTGTCTCACAACCTATGTACTTCTGACAGAGGTTTTTGCGTGTCCTGTAAGTCTTCCTGCCAACAAAAGATCTTGTTCAATGAACAAAAACATCTCCTAAACATTACATCAATCATTAATTTTTTGGCAATTAAAGCAAAAATCTGTTTAATAACTGCTATGAATTCTTCAGATGATAATATATTTTTTTCAAATTAAAATGACAGTTTTTCTGTTTAGTTAAAACTCGACTAGAGAACAAGTGTTTCAAGGACTAAGTATAAAATACAAACAAAAAAAAGAGACAAGTTATTCCCAGGAAAAATGTATATTAATAAAAAAAAAAAAAGTACAGGCACATCTCAGAGATATGGAGGGTTCAGTTCCAGACCAGTCCAATAAAGCAAATACCTCAATAAAGCAGGTCGCACACACTTTGTGGTTTCCAAGTGCATACAGAAATTATGTTTACGCTATGGTCTAGTACATGTACAATAGCATGTCTGAAAAATGCACATAGCTTAAGTTAAAAATGATGGAAAAATGGCACTGATAGACTTGCTTGATGCAGGGTTGCCACAAACCTTTGCAAGAAACGCAGTACCTGTGACGTGCACGAGCGAAGCACAGTGAACTGAGGTGTGCCTGTGTACACCATCTCCCCTAGCTGAGAAAACTCAAATACAGTGCCAACCTTGGTAGTTATTAATGTTCCCTGTGTATACACAGTTTTGTACTGAAAGGATAAAGCAGAACTTTGCTTTACTGCCCAGTAAATTCATTCCATTATTTAATCTCAAAGTCAAGATTAGGTGATCACCTCATATTGTTACAAAAAAATCTAATGAAACTGAGCACAGGAACAGCAGACGTCCCGGAGACGTAACCCGGCTGCGGGACTGGTGCGCTTCTGGCCCTCCTTTCCTCTGCTCCTCCTTCCTGTCTCGCCTGCCTGCCCAGCTCCTCCTTGGGTTCTCCAGCATCCTGAGGACACAATGCAGGCAGCCAGGACGGACCTGGGGGTGACGCTTCTGACAACATCCTGCCTCCCTTCCAGCTGACCCAACATGGGAAGACCTGGATGTATGAGAAAGCTCTCTCCTCCTGAGTCCTTTGAGGACACAAGTACTGTGGACTTCATCCTGAGTCTCAAACTAGGGGCATTTAAAACATGAAAACATTGTTTGTACAGAGCTTTTAAAAAACACATCAACCTTGAAAATAATTTCACCAAACAATAACAACAAAAAAAATGACGTTACTTTTAAGTATTTAATGGACAGCAGCCTGACTTCTGTGATGACTCTCAGAGGACGGAGGAGGCCGTTCCCTGTAACTTTTAGTGGACATGGAATTCTGTTTCACAGAAGGAAGGCTGCAAGTGGCCTCCAGTGACTCAACCCATCTGTCCATTCAGTAAGATAGTTCTACACATCACGTGAAGGAAAACGTGTGGGCTGCTTACTTGACAACTGATACACGGGACGACTAGTCTTGGAAGGACGCATGGCCTTTCAACAAAATGCTCCATGCTGCTATGCTAGTAGTTTAACATGAAAATGCAAGGAGCTGATGTCTTAAGAATAATGATTATTTTTGCCTATTCAAAAGCATGTAGCAATGTCGTTTTCTTCAAAAGCATTCTTAGAGTTTTGTTATAGCCCCTGACTATAGAAAACCTACTATTTTTTATATGTACTATTCAATCAATTTCCCTTGGAAATTCCACCCATTTAATTATTTGGCATAAAACTCTGCCCCTCCCTAACAATTCTGTAGCTTCTAGAAAGATATACACATTTCCTTTTCATTTTAATGAACAGAAATGACTTTTTCATGTGGATTTGGGAAACAAAATACATAATCTTTTATTCCCAGTTAAGATAGACATAATAATGAAACAAACAAAAAAACAAGGATCTATTTCTAAATATATTAACACATTAAGAGAATGGTTAAAATGTTCTTGTGGTCATGTAAATAAATGAACGTTAGAAAAAAGCATTAGTAAATGGATAAATCTTTTTAGATATTCTAAATGCTAGAAGAAACTGAGCTTTTAAAGCCTTTTGAAAACTGAAAATAGAACTGTTTTAATATACCAAAAACTTTAAGGTATAAAATGTGTTTTGCGAAACATGGAGCATTTTAACAGACCCAGAGTGAATGCCACAGAAACCATAACAACCAAGAGTGCTGGGTAAAAGATTCCATGCTGACTGGGTTACCAGTGAAAGTTACACTTACTAGTTCTCAATGTTTACAGCTAGTTGTCCTCTTTGCAATATACGGCTCTGAAAATACTAGTAACAGCATGGTCGGTATAGTCACCCAAAGGTCATGTGTCAGAAAATTAAAAATAAAAATTTCATCAAAAATAAGCAAGGCACATTAAACAAGTTTCAAATCAAAATAGGAAGATTGCACTTATATTTTTCATATCCATAGAGTGCACCAAAAACGCATAACCTTATATCTACAAACTTGTCCAAGATATGCAAATAATAACATTTTTAAAGACACTAGACAACAAAGTGCAAAAAAGTTTAAGAGAAACTTATGTTAGAAATAATATGCATACTGATTCTTGCAACGACAAGGGGTTTGCATTGCTGAAACAGTATATATTTCTATTTCTTTTGGTCCAACAGAACCACTCTCCTGTTGTTTGGTGTCTTCGACCATTGGATTGTTGTTGCAGCTAACAGGAAACTGTCCACTCCCACCTGTTACAACAGCCAACTCTCTATCAATGTGCATTTTGTCAGCATCGTCTTCTGTCTCACCATTCACTAGTGACATGGCATAATCCAAGCTTTGAGCTGTACAGAAAACAAAGACTGTTTTAGATTCCTTTGGACACACGACATTTTAAGACACATTTTTCATTCCTTTCTGTTACCAGAGAATGCTTTAAAACTAAAATAATTCAAATATCTATAGATTGCTAATGAACATAGTTCACTACTGGAAACTTACTTTTCCACAACACACAAAAAAATTCTTTAAATGTGCAGTTTCAGTTGGAAGTCATGAAATTTCAGATACCTATTCTAGATTTATTTGATGACAGAAATTCTAATTTTAAGGCTGTTATTTGGAGAACATAAAGTGGTCATACAACTTAGAGACAATTCTTGACTTCTTTTTCCAAATTCAGCAAATGTTTTTTAAAAGAAATACTTAAGACAATTCTTAAGTAACATAAAACCATTAAAACAATACTAAGATTTATAAACATTCACTAATTCCAAGAATAAAAAGTAATGAGATTTAAGGCAACTCTGTCAATATTGCCCCAGAGTGGCATTTGATCTGAGCAACAAAATACAATAAAATTGAAGACATACATTAAAAAGTCCTGGCTCAAAGACATTTGGAGCTGAAGCTACCTACATGTGCACATTCCTTCAAGACTATCATTCTCTGTATTTTTGAGATGCTAATGCACATATCTAATCACTTTCCCTCCAAGTAATGCATACTCTGCACAAACACTTCTTCCCCCAAACCCTACAAGTCCTCGCTTCACAAAAGCAGCCACTGTCACTCAATGGATGGTTTCTAGTCTTAATAAAAATGTTTCTACCAAAAAGGATCCTAAAAGACCACTGTTAACACCTTGCTTTATTCACTGACCATGGTATGAAACCCACATCAACTACTTTACAGAGAATCTTTAATCTGCTGTATGGCTATACTACAGTTCACCCAACCAAATTCCCTGCATCTGTCTGCGTTGCCTCCCTCTTCTCTCCTATCATGAAATAACATAATCAACATCCTCTTAAATGCATCTTTGTGCACACACTCCTGGTTCATAATGCAAATGCCTACAATTATTTCCAGAACACACACACACACACACACACACACCAAATAACTGTCAGTGCTAAATATTTCTTTCAAATAAACATTTAGAAATAGGGGGAACTGAACTTTGCAGCTTTAATTAGTTCTATTTTTAGAGGCATATGAGTCATTTTCAGTTATATGTACCAGTTCCAGATTATTTGCCAAAGATGCTACTGTACAGAACAAGAAACCCAATTTCTGAATGACTGGTATCTAGGAGGGTATGTAACAGTGTGATTTGTGTAGTGGGGAAAATAAGTAGAAGTCTACACATGTAAACAGTCAAAAGCATTCTTCAAACATGGGTACTTTAAAAACTGTGGATTTTAGTCTTTTTCACTCAAGCTTTTCTTTACCCTCCACAGGTCCAAAATAGATGACAGGGCTCTACCTTCACTACAAAACAGGTACTTTCAAAAAATCAGTGGTAAACAGAGCATCTTTTTTTTTTTTCCTTTTTGTCTCTTTTTTACTGACCGGTAACGGGATCGCAACCCTCGGTGTTGCGCCCGCACCGCGCTCAGCCAGTGAGCGGGAACCGGTCTCCACATGGGATCCGAACCCTCGGCGGGAGCGCCGCCACGCTCCCAAGCGGCGCACTCGCCAGTGCGCCACCGGGCCGGCCCTAAACAGAGCATCTTAAAGAAAAAAATGGGGGTAGGTAGAGGAGTAAATTCCCCTAAGTGTGCCAGGTGGCAAGGCCCTCGACACCCTCCAGGGCATCCTTCCTGCACTCAGAGATGAGGACCCCGCAGTCAGTGAGGGGCAGGGTTGTTCCTGTCCACTCTGCACTGCCTGCTAAGCTGAGCTCACTGGGAGTACAGCGCAGACAGCTTTATGCATCTATACGCCTACGGTCTGGCTTTGTTCTAGAATTCAGATGCCAATGTTCCTTGGGTAAAGCGACAACTAGAGGTTATACTTGCGGCTTCATACCTCTGAAAAGCAGGTTTAAAAAAAAAACCTTTTGACAAGATGTGAGGACAAGACAAAAAAAAAAAAAAAAACTGTGAAAGCAGGGATTCTTGTCTTTTCATTCACTCAGCCCAGTGCCCATATCAACAAAGAAAGCCCACTCGACAGCCAGATCAAACAAAACACTGAAAGTAGACAAAAACCACTACGAGTAACGGGAGTATGCAGCAATCAAAGCTGAAGAATGACCACCACTCCAGGCAAGCAGGTTCTGCAGGGGAAGCGGGGCCTGAAGGCAGACCTGCCACTAGGGGGCAGAAGAGCTGCAGCAAGGGGAGCTTGGGGAGAAACTAAATGAAGGACTGAGGCACAGACCCGTTTCAAAGCAAAAATGAATCTCTTAACAAGAGAAGTACGCAGTGACCAGGGACTTCTGAGATGGCTCCGTTTAACAGATGCATCTTTCATTAATGCAGATGGCTCCTCATTAATAAGGCAAGATGAAAATAAAAGGCTTTCTTTCACATTTTAGCATTAAGGAAACCCTAATGTGGGAACGTTAACACAGACACTCTGGAATCTCATCATTTCTCCAGTGTTTGCAGCGTCTCTCCCGTGGTCTGCCACCCAAACCTTGGGCAATACTACTTCATACTAATGCCTTCACTTTTTTACTCCAAGCACCTAAAAATAAACATCACTCAGTTGGCTGGATGGAGGTATTAAGGTTGCGATTATTTACTTCTAAAAACTGTATGTCAGAAGCCACAAAATTAAAACTGGCCTCTCAGTTTTTAAAGACACTGGATCAGGACTCAACTCTGGTTGCTGCCTCTTCCCACAATCAAAGACTGCCACCTGTGGCACTTTCTCCCCACAAACTCACCTGCCATTGCTAAAGGAATCACTTAAACACGACACGCTGCACTTGAGAAAGGTGACCTGGATACACACTTCAGAAAACGTCTTCTTCCATAGTTACCAATTTTTATTCTACTTACGTTTTGGAAAGGAAACACTTTCTCTTTCCATTGTTCCTATTGACTTCCACAGTTGGAAAAACTGCTGAACATTTCTGAAAACGTTACATAATAGGACAACTTTCTAAAAATGCCCTCGCCTTTTGACTGCTGAAGCAGGCATCTATTGAGAAGACAGACTTCCAGGCCACATTAGACAGAAAACTATCTAGGACTGGCTCCAAACCTCCCAGCCTCCATCCCCCAAGGGTACAACCATGGTCAGGTGTGACAACTTGCCATCACTAGGAGATGGTACATACCACCAGCTAAGAAACCCCTCATTTTCAACCTTGGGGGAAAGGAGAGGTGCTCCATTTGGGGCTGGTGCCTGCGACAACTCAGCAGTCTGCATATTTTCATCTAAAACTTGAGAGTGGGACAAAATCCCTAAAGCCAGTTCTCAGCAAGACTCTAAAACTACATGAACTATTTATGATTAAGCAACTAGAAAACGTGGAATAGGTCTTATCCAATTTTAAAAGCCAGGGAAAGTCGGCTGCACTAGAGAAGTGACACAATTGGACACAAAGGCCATGCCTTTATGCAGATATTTTAGTGCCAACTAGGCTGAATTAGGATGCACTCAGGTTTACTACTTATACTGACATGCAGAACACGTACATGAAAACAAGACTTTAATTGCCAGGAACACTTGCAAATATACCTAGGGCTTGTGGAAAAAACAAAAGAAAACACCTAATCAAGCCTATTTAACTTTAAAGGCAGATAAATCCCTTAATAGGCAGAAGTAGTACTCTATACAGTCTTATATTTTAAGACTATGTGATCTAATTGGCTAACAGGGCATTACTTCCAAGACCTATCCCAATCAGGTTATGCTCCCTAAGACAAAGCAGGAGACACCATTTTACATATACAAAACATGCCAAGTAGTTTCATAAAATGAATGTTAAGTGTGGTTTGGGATTGACTAGTAACCTACATTCTGCTGTCTCCAGGTGCTATGCAGAAGGGTTCCAAGCACTGGTCCACGACCCTTAGAGGTGGCCAGGTGCTGCAGGACACCTCATGCCCCTGTGGCTTTCCACTGAACTGAGTGCCTCCCTCTACTGAGAATGCTAACCACTGGGGAAGAAGCCTCACTTTCCCTGTTCAAGGAACAAGAAAATCGTCCCCTTTGCAGTTTCCCACCAGCCATTATTAAAGAGAACTGTTCTTTGCTCTGCTATAGCACATTTTACTCAAATATCTATTTTTTTCTTAGAAAGGTCCTGTTAAAATAAAAATAGCACTCAAGGCGACCTTTTGTGGGACTTGGACACCTGCCCTGGCATGAATTCTAGCCATGGGCAGGAAGGAAGCAGCACCAGTGCTTTGCGAAGAAAAGACTAAAAGGGATTTAAGGTTCTGTTCAAAGAACACAGGAGGGAAAGTGCACGTGAAGTAGACTATTCTCAAGGACATGTGCAAGTCTCAGTTTTGTTTCAACTGTGGCATCCACAACTGCACGGAGAACAAATCAGGTGTGTGAAGTTTGCTGAATTCAAGACTGAAACAAATCTTTCAGTATAATTCAGATTGTATTTATAAGGTGTCACATCTTTAGGGATCAAGGCAAAAACAAATAGCTTTTCCCTGCAAATCTGAGAAAACTGACATCAGAAGTTAAAGTGTTATTAGGGCCGGCCCGGTGGCGCACTGCTACAGTGCGCCGCTTGGGAGTGCGGCGGCGCTCCCGCCGAGGGTTCAGATCCCACATACAGACCGGTTCCCGCTCACTGGCTGAGCGAGGTGTGGGCACAACACCGAGGGTTGCAATCCCGTTGCCGGTCCTGGTCCAGTACGGGCGCGACACTGAGGGTTGCGATCCGTTGCTGGACATGAAAAAAGACAAAAAAAAAAAAAGAAGTTAAAGTGTTATATATATAACTAGAAGGAACTAAATTAAAAACGTACTCCTGGGAGGCATTTGATTTCTTGACTCTCACGTTTCAATTAGGCAACGCCCATCAGGTAATAAACTTACTGGTCACATCCGCCCTCCCTTCCTTTAGTTCAACATGAACAATCAAAACAGAAAAATGGAGATTCTTTATCCATCTTCAACTCATCCTGGGAAAAAGTGTGCCAAGAAACTTTTCACTAATTTTAAACTAAGTCATAATGTTGTAGATATTTCCCCCCCCCAAAATTTTTATATTAAATACCTACACATTATGGATGAGATTCTGAGATCAGTAACATACCCATACGATTAAAACAGAACTGTTAAATCCACTTAATGCTTGAGATCTGATATCATCACAGCCTACATCTTATGGCAGCACTTTCCACAGTTATAAAAGTGAAGGTTACCAGATCAGTTTTCTAACTCACACTAGCTCTTAGGACTCTAGACCTCTAATGAAAACATTATTAACAAGATGATGTTTTCCTTCATGGGAGAGACTGGCATTCTTTTCTAACCAGGTTCACCGATAAATAATTTTCACAAGTTTCCAAGGAATACATATACGAATAATTGTACTGAGTTACCCCTGAAAGTTAACTAGGATCACTAACAAACCTGAACTGACTTGTGCACAGCAGGTGCAGCTGCAGTCCTGAAGTCCACCTGTCACACCATCTTGCACGAATGTTGATAAACAGAAAAACTGTATACTGATGCTTGTCTGCACCATCCTGAATGAACAAAATTCCACACTGGGGAAAGTATTACCCCCAAATACTTTTCAGCAAAACCAACTGCTCAAGTAACTTTGGGTTTCATTTCACCCTCCAGAGTTCACGTCCACATCTATTATGTCTGCATTCTGACCAAACTGTACTTTAATAATGACGTGACTTTATGAAAGATATTTTAGAGTATAAAATTTTTGTAGTATAACTTCCTTCCAAAAGACAGTTTATACTCAAGCAATACAAAAAGGCAAGTCATTTTTATTTATGTAAGATCTTTTACATCAATATAGTTTATAAGGGAAAATTCCTCCAATTTAAAAGACTTGAAAGGAAAGCAGTTTACTGAGAGCAGACGTACTCCTTTCTGTGGGGAACAGTAGGTATTTGCCAGACTCATGATTCCAAAGTCTATATATAGTCAAGATATTATCCCAAGTGCCTTAAAAAAAAAAAAGAAAGAAAGAAAGAAAAAAGCCAAGAAAATGACAACTTAAACTCTTGTAAATATTTTTATATGTGAAGTTATTCAAAAAAGCATTTTATATGCATCTGGTACATAAAGAAAAAATACTTATTTTTACTCTGGCATGAGAACCAAAAAGTTATCTAATAAAATGAATAATTTTGACGCAACTTAAGCTCACACATATTTAAGCAGCAAATCAAAACAAAATCCCAGAAATTATAATGAAAACAAACTAAAGCAGACCATCTTAAACTGCAAACTAAAAAACTGTTCAAAAATGGAAACAATTATCTAATCAAATCAAGAAAAACTTCATTTAGAACATACAGGTATTTGGGGGTGGGAGGGAACCACCTCTTTGCTCCCCATACAGGAAAGAAAAAGGAGTGATGGGTTGAAGATGGCATGAATCTGTCTATGCTCACACAAATACAAAATTAAAAATAATACACACACAACCAAGTGACATGTGAGACAAACCTTAGATTTGTCAACTACATAAAGGACTGAACTATTAGGAAGCTTTAGGAAATTAGTAATCAATGTCATGGTCAGTAAACAAATTAGAAAAGCTAGGGAATAGCAGCTTTGAAGTAACATACATCTTGGCTTTAACAAAGATTTCTACTGTGATGTTCACAGAAATATTATTCATCACTTAATGTGCATTTGAAAGAGTGGTTCAACCCTTTAGGTCTGCATAATTACTACCTCCAAAACTTAAATAAAAATGTTGGGCTCAACCCACATTTTCTTCTGAATTAGCACCCTCAGGCTCAGGACCGGGAATGTGTGGTGTGGGACAGCTGCACAGCAAGTTCAATGTGCAAACTATGAACCTCTAACCACTGGTCAACCAAATGAATCCTTGTCTAGATGAAAAAAACCCACAAAAACCCTGAAAACCAGCAAGACTCTTCAGTAGAATCTGTGTAGTAGTAACAAGGTTTAGGAAACTTAAGGAATCCTTCGAAACACTTTTCAGGACACTTAGGCAATGTGATATTGGCTGATTCAACTGACCTTAGAAACTGTGAAAATAGTTTTAAAAACTCTCTAGGTCATATTTGAATCTGAATAGAATGTTAAGTGACTTTTTAAAAACACCAAAAGGAATGTAATATTTAACAGCAATGAGGGAATAAAAAACATGAACTAATTTTGAAGGATATTTAACTATAAACCAACACTCTGTGCACATACAGTTCACGCATGAGGGCATAACGAGGCCAACATGGAACACCACGACACTAACCAGGCATTAAATGAAACTGCAAAGGATATTTTTAAAAAGTGAATGCTCTCGAAGGGCTTTTAAAATATTTTAGAGAAAATATACTAGAGTATTATACAAGTCAACGACAATGCTGAACAATACTTTACCATTAAAAACACCATTTTGAAGTGTATCCATGCCTTCGTGCCATGCTTATGACTTCAACAGCATCTTTCTAGAAATTACTAGGCCCATAACTTATAAAAACCCTCAATTTGGTCAACCAACAGAGTTCATACATTCATTTCTACAAAAAAGTCACATAATCACAAGAGTTTTTATAGTGATAAGAATTAAATAATTGTGAAGTAGATAACACATTTTATCAACTTATAGGGAGAAAAATTGTTTCATCTGGATACACCCCAGTTAAGTAAAACGAGGTAAGCATTGGAAAGAGCATCATGTTTACCACACCAAATTTAGAGTGAACGAAGACCTCTAGTCTTTTAGGTAATTAACTGAGATTCACTTGCATTTTCCTCATGCTATACTTGTACAGTTATTTTTATTTTTTTTCCTTTTTGTCTTTTTTCGTGTCCGGCAACGGATCGCAACCCTCAGTGTCGCGCCCGTACCGGACCGGGACCGGCAACGGGATCGCAACCCTCGGTGTTGCTCCCACACCTCGCTCAGCCAGTGAGCAGGAACTGGTCTGTATGTGGGATCCGAACCCTCGGCGGGAGCGCCACCGTGCTCCCAAGCGGTGCACTGTAGCAGTGCGCCACCGGGCCGGCCCTACAGTTATTTTTTAAACCAAAGGACATGACTTTCTGTTTATTCTCATAAAATCTCATCTGAGTTCATAATTTTGATTGATTACACTCACATCTCTCCTTCTCTGTGTTCACTAAATATTCTTGCCAATATATCAATCTGTCTTCTGATTAAGACACAGATGTAATTTTTTTCCTGTATGAAAGGAAGGCTTTTTTTAACTTCAAGAGTAACTAGCTGGGCTGGCCTGTGGCTCACTTGGGAGAGTATGGTGCTGACAACACCAAGTTAAGGGTTAAGATCCCCTTACCAGTTATCTTAAAAAAAAAAAAAAAAAAGTAACTAGCTGACTCTGCTTATATACAAACTCCAGAACAATCTTAAAAAAAAAAAAAAAAAAAAAATGAAAGCATACTTAAAACTAAAATAACTTACCTTAGAGACTTAAATCCTCAACGTCAAATTAACACACCAGACCTTGCTGCAATAAACAAACACATACTACCACATGGGGTACGGAGACCAAGTGAGGTCGAATCATGGTGCAAGTGGTAAAAGCATAGAAAACATTTACGTTACCAAATGTGAAAATGTTTTACTGCAGACCATCAACAATTTTTTAAGCTCTGGAACATTCACAACAAACAAAATAATCAGGCATGGTGGCAGGTTTTTTTTTAATAGTTATATTTCAAACAGATACAACAAATGAAAAAAATCTAACTCGTGTGCGCACAGGCACTCAGAAAGTTACACACACATTTATGTCTGCGCCGTCACACTTCCCTCGCAACCCTCCCTTGATTAAGTGGCCCATCTTCACTGTGGCAACACAGGACAGAACTCCTCCAACACCACCTGAGAGTCCTCCAGGCCGATTGTCACCTGAAGAGAAGGTCTCATCTCACAGGTGCATTCAGCCATGAAAAGAAAACACGTTAAACAAAGGAAAAACTACCATGCCTTCCACCCCACAAAGCAACCTCACCTTCAGTTCTAGCTTTCTTTACTCCAAAGGATTCCGAACCTTCCAAGCATCTCTTTCGATTTGTTCCCACACTAGTGTGAGTAGGAAATACACTCTGGTGACCCCCATTTGAGGTGCCATTGTTATAGAAACGGTTCAGGTGACAATTCTGGAGGTTCAAGAGCAACTGGGCACACTCTCGGAAACCCTGGGTTTGTGCAATGTCTGCTGCGGTCAGGCCACTGGCATTTCTCAGGCTGTACAACACAAAAGCATGGAATTAGCTCCCACTCGCACCTGAGGCTGGTCTGCTCCTGCTGCACTGACTATCTATCTGAAGGTGACATGAAAGAGTAAACAAATCTACAGCAAATCTTCATTAAAGTAGTAGTTAATCACTCTAGCTCTGTAACTAACTTCTCTCATACACATTTGATTTCTAAGCAAGATTTGGGAAGACAGTAATTTAAAAAAAATCAATATACGAAACTTTTAAAAAAGGCATCTTCCTATTTAACTTAAAATCATGTTTTATGTTAGTCTGAAGAATCTAAATTTATGCTAACTTCAGACTTAACTTGAATTCTATATTATCTGCACTTAATTTTAATAACCCATTCCTTTAGCTCGAGTAAAATCATAACAAACAAACATGTACTAAATTGTCCATGGCATTCATAACTGGCTTCCTAAAAACAAAACTGCTTACCAACAGGAAGCCAGATTTTATGTTAACATGTGACACTATAAGTGGAAGTTTAGAAGGGTGTCCTGATGTTAAAATAACTTACCAAATTCCAGATCTGAAAAGCTGAGGTTTTTTTGTCTGTTTTTTGCCCTTGCTTATTAGGAAATTTACATTTTGGCATTCTAGAGCATTTGAGTAAATATTTCTTTGGGAAAACCTTTCAATATTGTCCTAGGAATTCATTCTCTAGGCTAAAAATCTTAATAAAGAACCAACATCTTACTTGACTAATAACACTAAAAAGCAAAGGTCTTATGCCCTCTATAGTAGCTAAGACTCAGATTAAAGCAAGAAGTGGCAGAACATATGAGAAAGATTTGAATAAAATAGAATAAGCTGTACTTGCAAACCTTAATTAGGATACTTAATTAAAACTGGGGGAACCAAAAGCAATTCCATGTTGAAGTTCCCCCGGAAGACAACACACACTGCTCTGTGAAATAAATCTATAAAAAAGCAAACATTCTGTTAGCTGCAGATTGATAAACTCAAATTGCAGAGGTACTAAACAGCAAAGATAGTGGCCATACCTGTTCAGCAAACTATACTAGGTACATAGCAAAGAAGTGATCAAATAAAGGCTTTATTTTGCGTCATTAAAACAACCATTCCAGAAACCCTAATGTTCTTGTTTTCTTAGGATTATGGTTAATGCAAAAAATAAAAGTAAAAATAAAAAAAAATGTGAGAGTGAAAATTACAGAATTAGGGACAAATAATGCTTTTTTTAAAATAATGCTTTTTTTTATTCATAAGGTTAACAGCCTCGTGGTATTATTTCCATCTGTCATACTCATAAAGCACCAACTTCAGAAATAAAAAATTAGTTGTTTTTAGACACTCACTAAACATGTCTCCATATTCTGAAGTATGAGATAAAGAAATGTATTATACATTTTGAGGACAAGCCCAAATCCAATCTGATCAGGTATAAAACAGACAAGACTTGAGAATCCCAAAACCAACAAAGTTTTCTAAAAAATATAAGGCAGTTGTGTATAGGACTATTAGAAATTAAAATTGACATTTTATTCGGCATAAAACTTCATGGCTGTGAATTTTAATGAAAATTATTCTAGCATTTTGTGATATTTTTATTTGAATATGTTAACTAAATGAAAAGGAAACACTACAGTTTGGGCAGACTGAACTATATCAACTGCATGTGCACAAAATGAAGTCAACTTATTACTGAAATATACACAAATATTAAGTGTGTAGCCTAATCATACAGCTGGATGACTTTTTGTAAAAATGGTGTATTTCATTTTCAGAAGATATTAGAAGTGAGGGCTGAGCCCGTGGCGCACTCGGGAGAGTGCAGCGCTGGGAGCGCAGCAGCGCTCCCGCCGCGGGTTCGGATCCTATATAGGGATGACCGGTGCGCTCACAGCGCTCACTGGCTGAGCGCGGTGCGGCCGGTCTCAAAAAGGACAAAAAAAAAAAAAAGGAGTGAAGATGGTCTAGAAAGGTCTACTCTGTTAAGAATATGAACAGAGAAGTAAGCTGCCATATGAAAATTTTAAAACTCTTCAAAATTTGAAAAGATACTGACTCTGAACATAAGAAAAATTTTAAAAAGACAATTATTTCTATAGATAAGCATGGACCTGCTCTCTTTACTTAATATGAGGACAAATTAAGGTACTAAATAAAACTGAGTAAAGATGGCTCTTTAGTGGATCAGAGAATAAAAAACAGTAAATAGATTTTTTAAATGGCATTTACAATCACAAATGCCAGTTCACTGAGGAAAATTAAGTCACTTAAGGGGCAAGCCAACATACTGAAGTTGTTAAATGAACACCCATCTGAAATACAATCAACTCCTTTACTACTCATTCAGAAACTGAGCACTAGACTGAATCTGGGTTAGAACAGTAACTTTACTGTTCTTCCAAGGAAATGTAACATTGAAGACTAATGTCGGAGTGGGGGCATTTGCCTACACATAGATAATGCTGGCAAGGCTCCCTGCCTCGCCTCCTTCCCGACTTAGACTAGAGCCAACCAAATATCATCTTCAAAACTTATTTTAACTAAAAAAAGCTCAAAAGGATTACAGCCAACTCATACTATCTACTCCACGTATAGACCAAGCAAGCAAGAAAGAACAATCACAAGTCAAACTGAACTTCTACTGGCTTCTCACATCATTTCTGGGGACTGAAGTTAGACATGAAAAGGAGACAAAAAAAAAAAAAAAGATTCTAGGGCTGGCCCAGTGGCGCACTGGAGAGTGCGCAGCTTGGGAGCGCGGCGGCACTCCCACCGAGGGTTCGGATCCCATGTGGAGACCGGTTCCCGCTCACTGGCTGAGCGCCGCTGGTGCGGGCGCAACACCGAGGGTTGTGATCCCGTTACCAGTCAGTAAAAAAGACAAAAAGGAAAAAAAAAAAAGATTCTAGAAAATGTGCTGAAAAGATATCAGAATCTGGAACACACGGCCATCGTGAAAGAATTAGAGGAGAGTATAACTTTGTTGAACATTTAGGTGGCACTGGCATTATCCATGTATTATTACCAGAAATAGAAAGTATCCTCTCTCTGCTTCTAGTGAGCTAAAGAAGACTTCAATTGTATTATTTCTCACGTTACTAAGGACTAAATGTGCACAACACATAGTCAAGTGGAAGACTCTGTTAAAACCCGATCCTGGTACACAACAAAAACCAACCACCACCCCTCTCTTGCCCCTTCCCATTTCCTCTCCTACATTATCTCCATTGAGAAACATTATCCCCTGTGAAACACACTAGTTCTTTTCTGCTCACATCACAGAAAGCCAGCACTTACAAGTTTTTTAATGTGTAGTGCACATTATAGAAACTGACCTGAAATCACCTAATCCAGAGGTACACACTTTTTCTATTAAGGGCTACACAGTAAATATTTTAGGCTTTGTAGGCCATGTATTCTCAGTCCCAACTACTCAACTCTCGTTATGGCCTGAAAGCAGCCTCAAACAATTGAGGGTGGTTATGTTCCAATAAACCTTTATAAGAACATTAAAACTTGAATTTTATATAATTTTATGTGTTACAAAATGTAATTCTTTTGATTTTTGTTCAACCATTTAAAACTGTAAAAACTATTCTCAGCTTACAAGCCATACAAAAACAGGCAGCTGGCTGGATCTGTTCAATAACATTTACCGAAACAGATGATACTGGTTAAGTATTCCTCTATACTTAATAATGAATTTCCTGAAAAAGTCTATTAATTTTAAACACTATTCAATTCAAATAAAAAGATAACTTGCTAGAAGTTGCCAAATCTGACACAAAATGTTAAATACCAAAAAAATACCCAAAAGTAAACTTTAGAAGGATGTGAAACAAAAGGCACACTTTGACAGCACACTTGGAGGTGAAACGATCATCCCTATTCCAATGAGTGTTTTCTGTGACATGTTCGAAGTGCTTTATAATGCAATTAGCAAGTTTCTTGATGTGGACAAGGTGAGAACTACCTTCAGGGGTCCCAAATTCCTCAAACTATTTTTTATACTTTAATTTCAAATTAATCATAGAGGCTGAAAATCATGTGGGTCTCCAAGTCAAAGATCAGAATAAACAATCATTAGATTGTATAGTTCTCAAAACTTATTAGGCTCAGGTCGTTAAATCCTGTTTTCATATATACTTTCCTGTTTATTAAGCAATATTTCAATTTTGCTATTTTAAGAGTTACAACAGTAATCCTAGTTAAAATGTATCAAGTTTACTAAACCTTCAAACTCTAGTGTTCCAAGTTTAAGTAGATATTAAATCTAAGCTATCCTGCTTTACTTTCTTAAAATTCAAGGGAGGTGAGCACATGAATGAAACACTTGATTCACAGGTTCTATGTTTATTTCACATTTGAATCTAGTACTTTGTTCTGTTTTAGCATTTTTTTTAAACAGTCAGTTCACCCTTTACTCTTTAGTACACAGATATTTACTGAGCATATTGTATGATCACACAGTACTAACTCTGGCCAGGCCACACCTATCAACCTCAAGTGAGGTATCAGTAAGGACAAAGTTAACTTGGATTGCGGTATTTACACACACTTTTCCAAAAGGAAACTTAAAGTACCTGAAAGCATAAGAAATACTCTCAAAAACTGTGTTTTGAATGAAAATTGAGGTACTAAAAAAGTATACACATTACTTTTAGACTACATCTTCAAAACACATACACTTCCGAATTTAACATTAGCAGTCTGATGGATATGGGCAAACAGATGTGCCTGATCTAAAATGCACCTCCACCAATTTCTGACAAGAGGAGGGTGCCGTCAGGTTGTTCTAAAGCTCTCATCAACCCTCTCCAACATCCATTCAAACAATCTTTGAAAACGGGCAGAGATTTTTAAAAATTAAGACAGTAGTCAACTTGACGTTCAAACTGGTTCTAGTTTGTAGAAGTTTTAAAACTTGATTTTCTTTCAAAGAAAGTTGGCATGATCAGATTTTTAGGCTGGTAAGCTAAACTTGCTACAATTTATTATGAGAACTATAAA